GATGCTGGTGAGTGGATTGACAAGGTTTTATGCTAAGAGGGAGATATTTAATGTGCGTCTTGTTCCGCCTTCATAAGATCACTTAAATAAATGTACCCAGGAGCAGTGGGAACCATGTCTGGTATTTATTCAGACACTTAAATGTTAAACGTGAAAGTTAACAAGAAACTCAAAATGACCACCAATTTAACGACATAATGTTATACACTTGACATTAACTTAATGGAACAGCAATCTGGTCCAAATCCAGACTGATAGCCAACAGACCTGCCTTTAAAAACGGAGCTGGCCAATCACCCTCCCAAATATTCAACAGCTACTTAGTACCCTCTCATGACTGCATATCAGGAATGCCAACACATAAACTGCTGCTGTGTTACTATGTGCCGCTGTGCTCTGGAAGCATATGGTTTGCACTAAGCGCTATATGAATGTGATGACAGAGTGTTGCTGGAGGCAGCCGAGCCCTCAGATGACTGCTCACTGCTGGCCTGGCTGGAGCCTACTATATGACCTACTGCATGCGGGACGTCCCACACAGCACTCAGTGGCTGGCAGTGGCTTTGTGCAGGGCATTTGGCAGAGAGTGGCTGATGAAGGGAGATGGTAAACGCAACGCAAGTGCGAGAATTTCCTGCCAATGCGGAATTAATTTTACATTTTCCTTTGCTGTGGGACACAGCTCTAGGCTGCCCCATTGTTTCTGGCTTTATCAATAGAGATCATCATAAAACTGTGTATAAAAAATACATATTTTGGCATGCTCTTTTTATTGCCTCTTTGAGAGAGGTCCTATTTTTGCTGTCTGATGTCTTCTTTCTGTTTGCCTGTCTCATAAACGAATAAATGGATCCAATGAAATTCGGTGGAGAGACAGAACATATGATTATACTTCAGTGGTCATCTGTGTCTGGGGTTTCCATTATACTAAGGACCAGTGGTGGAAAGTAACTAAGTGAATATTTGAGGTACTACTTGAGGTTTACTTGAGTACTTCCATTGTATGCAACTTGTTTCAACATTGTATTTTTCTGTAGTAAAATGATCTCCACTTCAACAAGGTACTTCTGCAATAATAGTATTAATCCACACTCCATATTACGGGACTTGAACCAACAACTCAGTGGTTCCTAAACTAAGTCCCTATGAACAAAGCTACTGCTGCCCCAAAGTCTAATAATCCAATAATGCAATATAACACAGAGAGGGGCCATTTTGCTATGTCCTACATCACTGCCAATATCTTTGAAACAAACAAAAAGAGGGACTTTCCTGATCTAACATCTTGCAGGATTAGCACATTGATACAATTTGAGATTTAGGTGATAGTACTACTGATGCCTTTGGGGGTAACAGCTGGTTCGATAGATGAATACCTTCTACGGAGAGGGCCTTCTACTCATCAACATGTTCATCTGGGTATCAAATTTAAGTGTTTAAACACATATGGACTGCACTTGACCTCCATGTCTACCTCTACAAAATTGAGGAAGCTTGTGTGGCACCTTGTGTTAGTCCAGCTCAGGAGAAGCTAGCTGTTAGTGAGCGTGGCTAATCCATGGGTTGGCACAGGCCCAGTGCGTGGCCATGTGTTCCTGCAGAGAGCAGCATTCCCCCAGGAGCTGCTGTCAGCACAAACTCAGGAAACAGTTATACTGTTCATATTTTTACAAGCTGCCTCTATGTGCAGCTAAAGTGAATCATAAGCTAATCACTGCCAGCTGCCCCCGGCCCTGCTCTCACTAGTCTCTAACTTGCTAGCTATTCAGACTCAAGGTATGAGGGGAATCTTTCATATGCTACATTAATCTCTCCCCTGATATTCATCTTCACTGACCATCCTGCACAACTCTGCTTTCTCCAGCTCGCCCACCCACTCCCACTGCAGTGAGAGAGGGATTTGACCACTGACCTGTTGATTCCTGAAGGTAGATTTGGAGGGGATTTCAAGGTGAGGCAGATCAGATTGATGAACTAAATTTCATAAATATTAAGAAGGATGAGAGCTTCGGGAGAGTGTGGGCAGATATGTAAAATACCCTTGTGTGCTGTCCACCATAGCAGAGGGATGTGACCTCTGCTACATAAAGATGGTGTTTATATGAACATTACAACATAAAGTGATGAGCTAGATGGTTTATGAGACCTCACTCTTTGCTCACTGAGAGCACAGCTCAGTGATTTTGACTTGAGTGGCTCATTGAATTTTTCTGAGTAATATGGGAAAGCTGATGTCATTGTGGGAATGAGATTTGTTTCAGCACTAAGGCTCATGACTAACACTGATCATAGAAATGCAACAACAATAAGATGAAAAAGACTTCTAACATGGAAGTCCAGGCTAAATGACTTGTATTCAGGTACGTCGACTGTAACTATCGACCAGAACCAGTAATATAAGTTGATGCGCTCTTGTTGCCTTAAAGAGTATCTTCCCTCGGAGGCTTCGCTCTTTGTACTGAGGTGTGATGGGATGGAAAGAAACCTGAAGATTCATGAGCAGTCTTGCTCTGCTCCTCGTTCGTCTTCCTTCACCTGCAGCTAACTGTCCCACTAGGGAGTGGGGATCAGACCCTGTCCTCCACAGACCCTACGTTCTCCACAAACACCCTCTGCCTCCCCTCTCATCTCCCCCCTTTGTAGCCGACCATTAAGCTCCTCTGATGGATGACAGGGGCTTCTTTGGCGCAGACTTGTGGGAACACTTCTGGTTCTGGTTAGCAAGCTAAAGCTGTGCTTGAGAGACAGACTACAGCATCCTGGCTAAAGCTAAGCTAAAGCTAAGCCAGCGCCGCAGGCCCCAGTGTGAAGAGCACATCGGGATATTTTTGGGTCCCTGTTAGTCCCAGAAAGATAACTGCCCTAAACACAAAGGATCCGTCTTTAATCACCATTTGTCTTGGAGGAATATTGACAGTAAATCTTTTCTGTGACGTAACTGTTTGTGTAGACGGCTTAATTGAAGACACAAAATGAGTGACTGACCACATGCTGCCATGAGCGGCTACCTCAAAAATGTTTTTGTTTGGACTGTGAGATTGACACTCATTTTCTGGATCATTGTAGAATGATAATGGCTGGAAGACAGACAGTGTCGAGTTACGAGCCGTGAACGTCCCCCTTCAGAGCAGGAACTCTTAATGTAGCTCTGTGCCGTCTCTGCCGCCACTCTAATTCAATTAGCCCGTGTCAATCACTGCTGAGGTATCAAACCACCTCAGACTAATATTTGCAGAGGGGCTCTAATATCAATACGCAGGTAAAGGCAGTAGACTCTCCGCTCCGCAATTATATAACCACATATGGCTGAAAGCAGTGAATGACAACATTTACCACCCATCTCTCTGTGAGCACAGGCCGCCATGGTGGAACAGCCATCTCTATGAGAGAGGCTCTACACACACACACACACACACACGCTCTCACTCACACACATGCGCTCGTGCTACGCCAATCGCCAAATGTATTTTAACTGGCATATTTTAATATTAGCTTCAGAAAAATGACACTGATATTTACAAAGTAAAAGGAGTCTAAATGGCCCATTTGAGCCAGAGTAAACACATTTAGCTATGAGGTCAGAGGCTGCCACACTAGAGGCAGGTTAGTTTGATAATTTTGTCAAAATGTTTAATGTCCTGCTAAACCGTTTGGGAAAAACAAGTGCGGCGCTGATATTGACTTTGGCAGCAGCCTGTATACTCAAGGCTTTAAACATGTAAATCAAATGCTCCATCTTCAGGCAAATGTGAGTAGACGTTTCATGCCCGGCTAGTTGCACTGTAGGTCCCTGCCACAACTCGCTTTTTGACTACTCACCCCACCCTCTATCCATACTGTGTGATCAACAGATAGGGCACTACAGTATGTATGTCTGTGTCTCGCTCTGTGTGTGTGTGTGTGCATTCATGAGTGCTTTTAGGTCAAACATCTTGATTTGATGAAATCTGCAAATTTGGAAATTGCTGCAATTTTTGAGTGCAGCATTGTCATCACGTCACAAGTATGGAGGAGCTTAAGGTGGCGAAGATATACATGAACACGGGAGATTACTTATATTGCATGATGGGCACTTTAGTTACGTTTGAGAAAAAAGGGGATTCTCACCACCAACCACACACACACACACACACACACACACACATCCATCCACACACACAATGTTCAGATGGTCCTCATCAAGCACCCAAAGTAACAGGCCCACATCTCACATCCAATATGTCACCCTGCCTGTGTAACTGCTGTTGCAGCATCCCCTACTCAGGTCCTTTTCACTTTCCATTCCTCTCCTCGCGCTGGTAATTGTGCATGCTGCTGAGAGAGAGGCACTGAAACCGCAAGGTAATTTCAACAGCGCTCTCCTCCTGCTTTCAAGGCTTGAAACAACACATCACCCTCCAGATGCTTCCAGGCCAACCTGACGTCTCTGAGCGGCGCTCGGACGTTTACATCCAGGCGGTTACGCCGCGCCGGCCTGCTGCACTGTTTGTGCTGGAAGTCTGCTGTGCCTCACACCCCAATCACGCGCAATCATGTGTGTTTCCTGGATTACTATATGTAAACTCCTCTCACTCACACACACTCCCACACACAGAGACACACATGAGTACAAATGCATGCACGGCCCGTAGAGTAAGAAAGCCATCAAACCTCATTCTGTCATAGGCCTATGCTGTATATACTCCCATAAAAGCATATATACACACACAGACACCAAAAGAGCAGACCACAGGGTTAAAAGAAAGCATGTTTACGTAACACGATCACTTTTGTTACACAGGGTTTATGATGCTTGATTCCATCCACTCTTTCTCAATGTTATTAAACTGTAAAAGACTGTTTTCCTTCTCTACCTCCCTGGTTTTCGGCACATTGTTTAGTACAGTACACGCTGTGCCTCCTGACGACACTCGGGCTCTGTAACTCTGCTCTGCTGGCTCTCCGGGGAAATCATCGGCACTAATAGGAAACATGCTGTGCCTTTAACACACAAAGAACAACACAGATACGCGGAAAAGCCGTCCGTTTCGGCTGAAGTGTCCTTGAGCAAGATAGCTGCACTTCTACGAGCTGCAGGTTTTCTGTGCGCCCTCGGACACTCCTGGTGTACCTAATGTAAGAGGCTGCTTTCTGAAAACATGTTTTAGTACAGTAATTAATGTATTCGTGTTAAGGTCAAATAACTTTTTCATGAAATTTAAAACAGTACTGAATAGAAACTCAGATGTAGCAATACTGGCACACTAACTAAATAACATGAACTTGTCTTCAGTTTTATTGCTTTCCCTTTAAAAGTATCCCCAGTTGTACTGATTTTCACAATTATCTGGCAGATGCATCATCTTCTAAGATGGTATAATCTAATGAAGTTTATTGTTTGTGTTTGTTGTATGATCCCTCAATAAATCAAGTGTCTAATTCAGTATATGACGGTCCGTCAAACATGATTACTAGTAGATTTGTACAATATGAATTGTTTGGTAATGTTTTCTTTTTCCAAAAAGAATTTGTTGATTCTTGTCACTGGAGGATAAAACAGCTCACAACATAAACACCAAACGATGATCCTATCACACTGCTTTGACACTATACTCTCATTAAAGTGTGAATCATGTCCGGCCAAGCAGTTTGGTCATGGCGCTGATGCTGTCGTATCCAGTGGAGATGGGGGACCTTATGAACACTGATTCCGGTGCCAGAAATAGAGCTGGTGATGTGTCACGTTGACCCTGTGGTAACCAGCACGGCCCCTCCTCCCATGAGGGATGTCTTAGGGGTTGTGGAGTTGAGTTTGTTTCCAGTGAGATGGCCAAATAGGTTTGTCAGCAGGAGTGAGAGACTTAACCTAGCATGATCTAAGTGGGTACGCCCTGCGGTTCTGCCTTGATTCAGGATGATAAATAGGTGAAAAACAATGGAAACTCAGCGGGTCAAAATCTGTGTGATGACCATAATACCATCAGTGTGATTAATAGAGGAAGAAAGTTCAACTGACCTGTGTGTGTTGGTATAGTTGTGTAAATGGTAAATCTATGGTCAACTGCAATAATTAATTTTTTGTTTGAGACAAAGTGGTCCCTTTTCTCAGTGAAGATGTTGCTCTTGTTCACCTTTATACATTGAGAGTTTCTGGTAACTGTAGCTTGACTTTACTAGACTGCAATGTCACATGACATATTTGAGTTTACAGAAGAGGCCAGTCAGAAGACAATTTGGCTGTGTGACAGGAGTGTGACAAAGCCTTACATGACTGTTCGTCGAATTTTCCACTCATTAATCAGGAAATGTACACTTTTACCAGATTTAATGTTTGTATTTCCCGCCCTTCTGGCACATATTTAAAGTTTACCTCCCTTAACAGTGACCTGTAGCATCAGAGTAAGTATGACACATCTCCACAGCTGAATACATCCATGTTACACATCCCCGGAGGACTCACCCGTCTCTCGTGCCGTCCATGGCAGCCAGCGGGGACAGGTGGTGAGGGCTGCCGAGGTCCCGGTCCAGTCGGTGCTGTCGGGAGGGCAGGTCAGTGGCAGCGGTGGGGTTAGGGGTAGGGGAGAGGAGCTCCACTGAGGCGCTGTGATGGGGTGTGCTGGAGCCAGTGTACAGGCCTGAAAGACAAACAAAGCTAATTGAGTAAATGTGGCGAATAAACTTGAGGGCCCTGTGCTTCATATTGTGAGCAAATTAAAAGCCATTTCATGGCAACGGGTCTTTGTTTTGACAACCTTCATCCAATCAGAGTGCTTTGTAAAATAAAATATTCTGTGTTTGCGCTGTTTGTGATTTACGGTACATTGTGCTGCCACGGGGTTTGGCCTTGTTTGTCCTTTCCTTGTTTGTTCTTATTACACAAGAATAAACTAAAATGTTACATATGTTTGCACAGTGACTTTGAACAGTAGGACGTTTAAAAGGGGCATAGGGTTACTGGATAGCCTCTGTTTTAGGTGTGTGTGCATGCTTATGGTTATGTGAATACATGCAGGCGTATACAGTCAGTGATGTATTTCTACATCTGCATCTACATTGTACTGTATCAGTGTCATTTTTTTTAAACAGGCAGCTGGAAATGGACCGAAAAAAAAGAGAATAGTGTCATTTCCTGACTCTGTTCCAAAACATCCAATATGCCTTTCACTATTCAATCACTGAGTATTTCTAAATCATATTTGATTAACATTTTGTTGACACAATGGTCCGTGGAGGTGGAGGCGGGGGTGCATTATTTTATACTGAAGCCAGATGCCTCCTGCCAACTTTTTCTACAGTTTCAAGCTGTGGACTCCAATTAAACATTGATGATTTTTTCCTACTCAGAATGTGCTGCAAACTAGGACTGCAACAAATAGTTATTGATTATAGATTGTTTTCATTTGTTTTTTGTGAAAAATGCTTCCAAAGCTTAAGGTGACATCTTAAAATGTCTTGTTTTGTCTGACTAATAGCCCAAAACCCAAAGGTATTTATTTTGCAGTATAAAACTGAGAAAATAAGTTTTTCTTCTTTTCATTTTAGAAGCTGGAAGCAGCAGGTTTTCAGCCATATTTGCTGGACTACATGCTCCCTGAAATCCCTGTTAATTTGTCACCACATTGCCCATATATCTGCTAGTCTTTGGAGCTGCACTTGCACATATCAGTCGACAAATCCGCTGTAATACATCCGACCTTTCCATCAGTTGACATGACTTGACATTCTGACAAGTTTCCACTGGTTTAATCTAAAAATGTTGCTCCAGAGAGAGACTTGTGACAAATCATAGTGAAATTTATGTTCAGTCAAGAACTAGACATTGTGCACACCTAGTCTTGATAAGGGAAGTTACACTTGGATCTGCACTTGTTCTCGCAACACAATAAATTTGCTCTCTCCATCGGCTGATTTCTTTCCCAGCATCCACGAGGAGAGCAGCGCGCTGACTGTCTGGGGCAGTTAACCAGCGACGAGAGGAGAAGACAGAAGGAGATGAAAGGACGAGAAAAGATCGGTGCTCCTGGTTTTGCCGTTTCCAGGCCCAGCTGTTCTCAAGTGGAAGCATGCCGAGGCCTGATCTGACAGCACTCTGAAATGGTTACAAGCTTGATTCATTACCCCCAAATCATCAATCACAGACCTTAAATGTTTTCCCCTTTAGCCCCAACATCTGCTACAAGACCAGCAAAACAGTCGACAAATAATGGCTGTGATTGCCTCAATTTCATTGCTAGTTCCTTGTGGAGGGAGAGAGAGAGGATCTGGTGGCACTCTTTAAGGGTTAGTAGGGGATTACATTCTGAAGATGTTGTGGATTGGCTCTGAAATGCTTCTGGTTGAGTTCAGGAAGATATCTCTGTGTGAGCGGTATATCAGCCATTCAGCGTAACAGCAGGAGCATGTAAACCTCTGCACTAAAACTATGATGAGTCCTTCCTATGGTTAATCAGAGAACACTCTAATTATGCTCTATAAAACAGAGAGGGGCTTCTCGTAAGTCTTGCTGCAGCCATGTGAATAAGAGCAGACTTATAACCGGCGAACAGGAAAACAAGTTTAGCTCTGACTGGAAGCATGACTCATTTTCTGCTTCACAAGTGTTAATGATGGGATGGTTGCCCACTTTGCCCCACCTTTTCCATGCATCCTATTGGCCCTGGAACAAAGTGAAACTCATGTAAATAGGGATCCTGCATGCCAACCTGCAACATCTTTGCTGGCCTCAAATAACACTGCATCCCTGAACGCTTTGGCATCGGCTCACGAGTGAGCTCCTCCGGGCTTTAAAACATTTAAAACAAGAGAGTAAGCAACGTCCACTCAGAAACAGAGGGAGGGCGAGGGGAAAAAGCCAAGACTCAGAGGCCTGGTTCAACATTCAAAGACAAGTTGAGCGTTCACAGTCGTCAACGGTGCGCTGGAGTTCCAGCAACAACAACAGAAAGCAACGGGGAGCCTGGATGGGGTACAGGCAGAAAACAAGGACAGATGTGTCCATAAACTGAGGAAGCTGCGGGGCATCTCTCTTGTCTTTAAAATTGTTATAATCATTTATTTATCTCTCTCTTGTTCCAAATCCAAAGTAGTGTTGACATTTGGTGACGGTCAAATTCATCAATTAGAAAAATTTAAGTTTAAAGGCCACATGTGATGAATAAAATTTTCTGTTTGTAGCTGTTAGTAATGGTTTTTGCAGTCTTTGCATGACAAGATGACAGGTTAACATGATATGGTTATGAAACACAAACCAAATAAAAGTGCACGATTGTAACATTTCCTTCTAAACTTAAATATCCAAGTAGAGTCCAACAGCTAAAATGTTTATATAAAATGTGTATAAGCAATTAAAGATAAATTATAGTGGTGTAATTTGTTTATGTTTGACCAAGGGCGCCATAACTATGATTTTTACTGCCTGAAAGCACAAAATTACCATAATACATCTGCAGAAATGTCGACATGGCTGTTGATTACCACCAATGACTCGGTGATTGCTTTGCCAGGTGTTGGGATTTCTGGCGGTCAGACCTCACTTGCTGGCCTGTTCTTCTGTTTTGGAACAAATACTCCCTGGCCATCAATATTTTGAGACATGGCCAGCCTCTTGTATTCACATTTTGAATTGCTCAACCACAGAGAATGGTGCTACTACTGTTGTCAAATTACACGTTGTATTGCACTCATGAGGTGTTACTCATTAAAATGTTTATCTGAGGAATCTAATGCTATAATTAACTTATGCTCTGGCATGTTTTGTGAAAAACATAAGGAAGGTGTTATAAGAAACTTAAAATCAATATAGATTAAATAGCTACATAGACATCAGATAGGTCATAAAATGAATGTGTATTGATAAATGGTATGTAAAGTGCTACACAATAGCAAGTAGCAATGTGTACCAATAAATAAAAAAAGAAAGGGTGGAAGGTACACTGAGACCAGAGTGTTGCTGTTTCTGACAGAAGTACTAAATTACTCAAGGCCTTCATAAGGTTACATTATCAGGTTTTTAGACCAAAGAGCAGCATGCAGTGTGCACCTGTGAAGATATCTTGGCCCAGTCCAGGTGAACGGCCATCTTTGCCGTTGTAGAGGTGCTGCGAGGAGGTGGAGCTCGGTAGGTGCTGCATGGATAGACAGTCACTCAGGACGTCCTGCTCCAGATGAGGACAAGGCCGAAGCTGTCAATCACAAACATAAGAATAAACAGAAAATGTTTACAAGATGTTAAGTCATTTCAAGAGAACTCCATCTGGTCTGCAAGATTACACAACCTAAGAACAAAACACAGCTTCAGTTGTGTCTATTTGTAGGTTGGATCCTATGTGGGGTGTGTTTTGTTTTCTCTTTTTGCTATAACGTGATTGTAATGTTAATTTGAAACAGTAACTCAGCAAATGAGAATACATTCTCAGTCAGGGGGAACCAGGGGGAAGATCATACGCTCCTTTTTGAGTCATGCGTTGGCCTTGGACATTGTGGTTGTGATCACTGTACCAACTCAGAGCCAACGCAAGATTGCTTCTGTTTCTCTCACTGCCAGCAGTAATGGAGGCAACTAAAGACATATTTTAACTGGAGAGTCGATCACACGCCACGCAGGAGAAACCTAAACCTAAAGAAACTTGTGTCAGTTGAAGAAATGGGACATCTGCCTTATGGATCAGTGGAACAGCTGACCTCTGTTGAGCACATCAGTGGATTTCTCTGTAATAAAACATTACAGTTTCTGAGGTACACACAAGGACTGGACTAACAACCACATCTCTCCTTTACTCAGGAGGTTTACCTTCAAAGACTTAGTAAATTCAACACAGGGACTGTGACGGGAATGATTATCAGAAGGTAGAAAAACATTTTAAATCAACTGTGTGTAATGCAGCATGGTGCGCCAGAATCAAGACACTAACTAGAGAAAGCAGAATCTGACATCTGCTTTGGCTCCAAAATCATTTATGGACAAACAAAAGAAATGGACATGATCTGCTATAGTAGATGTTTTGGGGGCTTTTATTGCCTTTAATTGATAGAAACAGCTGAAGAGTGACAGGTACATGAGATACTCTACTAGGTGAGCTACCAGGACACCTCTGCTATAGCAGATTTACTATTCATTCATAAAAAGCCTGATAATTGTTTAAAATCTACCCAGTTTACATTATTATTAAACAACAACTGATAGTCCACACTGAATTACCTATTTTATTCTTCAATAAAAGGTCCAGTGTAACATTTAGGAGGATCTATTTACAGAAATGGAATATAACATTCATACATGTTTATATTAGTGTATAACCACCTGAATCGTTGTGTTTTGGCATTGTTATTCTTTATTCACAAAAAACATGTATCTCATTTCAGTTCAGTTATACATAAATCTCTATTTAAGTAAAACTTGAGTTATAATTAAGTTAAGTTTGAACTCGTATAACTGTCTCCTAATCATTTGAATCCAATATATGTTGGTTAAGGAAATCAACACGTAAACCAATTTTAAATCAAGCTTGTATTTTTACATATTTTTCAGCAGAGTGTATAATAGTAAGAAGTGATAACTTTATGATGCCAAGAGGCATAAAAACCTGGCAGTGTTACTGTGAGTCATTAGGAACAATACAAGTTTAGTGTGTCTTTAAAAGAAAGTGCTCCAGTTACAGATGACAAGGTTGATGTTGTTCACCAAAGGTTTTTTCTCCACTATCATTCCAACCCTATCAATCTGCCCATCTGTCTCCCTGTGTCTCTGCCTGTCTGTCCATCCATCCACAAATCCACCCTTTGATATTCCATGAAAATCAATTGCACATTTAGATTTTGTGGTTGGACTGTGGGTGGAAACATTCTTCAGTATTATCACAACAATCTACTCTAAACCTCTGATTATTCCCAAAGAATTCATCAACAGCAATGAGCCAAGTGGACAGATAACAACTTTATCTGCATGTGAGTTATATCTTTAAAGACCTATCTGGCCAGTGAAATTAAGGATAATTGAACCTTTCAGCTTGGTTTCACTCAACAGTTTTACAGCTGGCATCAACCACCTTATGATTTCACACTTACATACTGTATGTCAGTAAATGTGTATATGCATGTCCTCCTGGGGATCCTTATGAGTGCCCTGCAAAACATTCATCACATGTAATTGGGGCTCTGTTTTCTCCACAGCGACACTCCTTACAGTTTTTCTCCGGGCTGCTCCAAGAGTGGAGTAAGAGCGTTTGTTTGACATTTGTCCATAACATCTGGCCACTGGGGTATTCCACAGTACAGCTTATTAACAATGCTACAAGCACACATGTGTTTCCCTTTACGACGCTAAGCAAAGGAACACATCATCCAGCCTGCCACTATCCAGCCCCTTCCACAACAATGAGCCCATTCTCTGTTATTTACCCACTTCCAGTCAGGGAAAGAATGGGCTTTTGACCATGAACACGATGAAATGTGGTCAGACCTGATCTATTGTAGGGGAAACGATTCTCAAAGACACCCCTCCACCACCCCGGCCTCCCAACCCCTCAATTAAACCAACTAGATGGATCTGTGGATAATGCACGTCAGAACAGGAGAGATTACATAAATTGGTCTGTTGCTCCACTGTACTAACTTGAATAAAGAAGGTCCACAGTGACTCTTGAGCAGAGTAAAGTAATGTAATCTACATGATAAGTAGGGAAAGCCACCCACATGTATGTAGGTGCACTAGGACTTGTTATGAAAAATTAAACATGATACATAAAACTCCTTTTTTTAATTCATAGGATCAAATTAATTTCTGTCTGCTTCAAGTTAGAGATCAAGTTGCTCTTAATTGCTAAAAACAAGGAAATTACAAATGTCAAGTGACAGAAGAAAAAATTACTTAATACTTGACGAGACCACAGGGTTACACATAGTAGCTTTCTGCTACTCTTCAAACCTCTGTCTCTATCCGCTCCATCCCTCTCCTGTAGAAGGGCTCTTACCTTTCTACGCACCTGTTGCTCTTTGGCCGAGTGGATCTTGACATGTTTGCGTAGGGAGCTGGGATCTGTGTAGCGCTTGGTACAGCCGGGGATCTGACATGCATACGGTTTCTACAAGCAGAGAGAAAATTCTTCACATCAGTTAAAAGTGTGAAATGCATTTAAATTCACTTCATTATAAGGACACACACAGTAAGTTTGAAATCTGTTGAGGTAAAGGTAAAGTTAAAGTCCTACCTCTCAGCTGAGAATGACAGAATTTGAAGGAAGAAGAAGAAGAGGAGGAAGAAGAATATAAAAGCATGAAAAAGAAAAAAGAAAAGATCCATTATAAAATATTTCAGTACTAAATTATTTCCCTGTAGCATTTTTCTCCCCTCCCAATTCAGGACTTTAAAGCTGGTCTATGTATGTTCTGCAGTTTAGTAGAAATATAGTTGGGCATGGTTAGTTTTGGCATGATTCATAAAACAATGGGGACATTTCTCCATTGGAATAAGCAATAAAGAGTTATATTTAGCTGTTTAGTGGTACTCTATACCATCGGTTAGTGCTGATCTGCAGACTGGCTGTAAGGATGGAGATGTAGGTAGATTAGAGTAACAGACGTGACATCTGTAAAACGGCTGCACTGTCATGGAGTTTCCTCATCATTTCACATTCTTCTCACTAACCAAGCAAATACAGCATGTAGCTAGCTGATTGAGGGATTTTTCCCCTCACGGCAATTTTTCTTTCATCCTCAGGAATATAAGTTGCCCATTAAAGTGTAAGGGGATACACGTCTTTATTAACTCTGCCTCCATACCTTGACCTTCTCTGTAAATAAGCCATTGTTATTGCAAGGCGCTTACAGTGCCACTCATCTCCGCCATGTTTGTTTTGCCAAGCAATGCACCCAATACAGCGCAGAACGTTGAGTTAAAAAAAAAAAAAATCAAGCACAACTTCTGTGTAGAATAAATATCATTAAAGCTAGAAAATGATTTTTCCCCAAAGTGTTTTTGGCAGAGCAGGCAGCTGGGCAGGCAAAGTGAATGCCTTAGCGGGGTGTTAATGTGAAGCCATAAGCATCGGGGTCCCAGATTAGCTGTATCATTTGTCCTACTGTGGAAAGAGTGGGTGGTGGAAGAAAACCCTTAAATGATAGAATAACACGAGTCCGCGTTCAAGACTCGACTCAAGTAAAAGTTCTGAATGATTTACTATTATGTGTACCAAAAGCGTTGGTGGTGGGCCAATCCAGGAACACAGGGGGAGAACATTCTGGAAATATAAATATTATTAAATAAATGAAATATCTCTTTCAATTTAATTTCAATTTAGTTCTGCAGAAAGTGGTGAATTTGAGAGTTTACTGATTTAAAAAGTTCTCAACCTGTGTCACTACAACTACTTCATATAAACTGAAACCAACTGTTTGACGTGGTAGAGTGAAGGGAGAAACAGTTCTTTCCACCATGCTGCTACACGATTTAAGATTAAAATGTTAACAGATTTAAAGACGGAAAATAGTTTTTGAGGAAGGAGTTTTGTTCCTTATTGTTAATAATTTTGTAAATCATTTTAGTTGAGTCGTTTGGAGAGTGGAGAGCTGTCACAGAAATGTACATACGAGACCTAATCGAGGATTCAAGAATAATAAGTGTCATAAGTGGTTTGGATTGTAAACATCTCTGAGATAGATTTGTGATTTTGAGGAATATAAATATAATGTAATTGACTTTACTTGAAGGGATATAGCTCTATGGAAGCAGAGTATCAGCG